GCCGAAACGTCCTGTAAAAACGTTTTATCCCTTTTCATATTTCCCAATATTTTCGCTCTTATTTTTTCACTCATTTCCGTGACTATTTGCATCCTAAAAAATCTATCAGAATCACCCCCACGGGGAGTATTTGTCGTATCATCAGTTTCGCCGATGGTTTAAATCTGCCGCGTGTATTTTAAAGCTGTTTCCGCCATTGTTCCCAAGTAGCCATATACGGTCATTGTTAATCGTTAAACAAAGCCTGCTCAACTTTCAGCTGATCCGCTTTTCTTGATACGAGTTTTTTTCTTCGTTTTAGATTCTCTGCTGGCTTGAGGAAGCTTTTTTGGGCTCTGTTTGATAAAACAGATCTTGAAGCATTTGAACTTGAATCGAGCACGTTCTACATAACTCAGACGACTGGAGAGACTTTGTTTGCTATTTTCAATATCGTCGCCATTTTGATCTCGCTCAACATGCTCATTGCAATGATGTCGAACTCATTTCAACAAATAGCGGTGAGTAACAGTTTTATAGTCCCGAAGACAATCTTATTTATTTAACCATTTACACCCTGGTATCCGTATGCATGTTCTTTATACTGTTCTCTCAAATGACCTTAATATTTGATTAAGATGTAATAATTTTAATGTTGGGAAAATGAGACGATAATCATTATTTGCGATCACAACCACTAACACGGCCAAAGGGACCGTCCCGTGACTTCCCACCAACGGTCTTTGATACACAAAACAGTTATCAGACTGTGACTTTGTGAAAGTAGCAACTTATGTTATGCAACATCTCCATAAAATGGAACTAGACACCTCGAACCCAAATTCGGGTGTCAGTTTGGCGTTTTACTTCTCAAAACGGAGCAGCACCATAACCATGTGTTGGTCTGGTCCTAACCAGATTTCAGTTATTTATTTATTTACTTATTGCCAATCTAGGACGATGCTGATATCCAATGGAAGTTTTCCAGAACAGGGATGTGGATGCAGTATGTGGACAAGGGAAGTGTTCTTCCTCCTCCATTTAACCTTCTGCCCAATCGGAAGCATTTTGTTGATTTGTGTCGACGTATTAAAAACTGGATCAAGCCTCAAAAGGTAGGCTGAATTTTAAGGATATTTCCGGTTTTACTTGGAGGGCAGTGCTCCTTAACAAATGATTTATTCCAACTGATATCGCTGACCGCGATACTCAACGAACCAGTAGTATTTACGTCATCACATTACCGAGCCCCCTGGTACTAGTAAATTATAACCAAGGGAGTGGTCAAATAAGTAATTTCAAATTAGCCGGTTGTTTAGCACAGAGCTTACTAAAAATAACGAACAGGATCACCGTGGAATTGTACACCTTAAAGTCATATACTTTTCCATTGTCTCTAGAACGAAGTATACGAAAAATGCTTTATTAGAAATATTTCCCGGCATAACAAAGTCATGATATCATCTGTAAATTAATAAGGGAACCAAAGTCTCTTCACCAGATAACTTCATACAACTGAAGGTGAAGGTGAAGGACCTGTAAACTCATGATATTTTCTTATTTCTGATAGGTCAGCACAGAATTGTAGTTAAGTCTGCAGGGTTAGCTGATTACATTAGCGACTTGATTTTCATTGGCTGTTGAACTGTCTTATATGGCGTCAAATAATATGCAACTTCACAATAGCTCGCGGCTCGAGCATTTAGTATGCATATTACTGATCTTTTGTCCTTCTAATACAGATTTTTTTGTATTAGGAGTATTTATTAAATACTCTTGACCAATCAGATCATAGTTAGTCTAATCCATAATAATCTAAGTTTTTAGCAAGAAACTAAAGTTGTTAGCGGACTCATCATGCATTACGTGCAGTACTGAAAAGTGTGTGTTTGGTTCTAGAAAGAGCATTATGACGATTTGGATTCAAGTGAAGGCGATGAAGAGCAAGACGAAGATATGATTGAGGTAATTGTGGTTAGGATTTGGATATTCCTTGTAGGTCTAGTTAAGTTTTGCATGCATGTCCTTATTTGGTACCCATTTCTTTTGGGTGGAAGCAAGGTATTTATATCTGCAGGAACGTTTTACCCGAAAATCAACCTTTCCTTCCTTAAAGAAAGATCTATTAATTTTTTTACGAGCGTGAGAAAAAGAACTTCTCTGAATGAGATATCGAATTCTATACCCTCAGATTTTATGCCCTGAAGCTTTACCACTGAGGTGCAGGGAATTCGATCATAAGTTAGGCCGGCCTTACGCTCGGCTACTCCGCCTTTGTGACACTAAAGAGAACAACGCAGATTTACTTCCGCCACGATCGATTCTATGACACTTCAGATATTCACAAAGTCCTAGAGATCATCGTCTGTATAAATAAGTGGCCTTTGTGTCTTGTTACACTTGGATTGCAATTTTAATTTCTCCTTTTATTACACCCATTTTGAAATCACTGGTGGTCCCTGTAATCTGATTGGCTCTAGTTGGTGCGATTTATTTACGAATCGCACCATTTTTTGCTTTAAATCGCATCTTTTTCCCAGCCAATGAGGATACAATAACAACAAAACAACCAATAAGATTTCAAGGCTTGTTTAAAGTAACCAATCAACTTGCAAGAAAATGAAAGACAAAGAGTATCCTGTGGCAAATTTTGCAACTTTTGTTTTCAAAACTCCTATTTTTTCCCCACAAAAAATGAATGAATTTAATTTCAAACCAGCTCAGTACTGCATCAATGAAACATTTGAACTGACCAAGTCCTGTATTTGGGCGACTTCAGAATGGTTGTAAAGAAGTAGTAATTGAACTGAGTGGAGTTGAATTCGGGCTGAAATCATACGCGTGATTTCAAAATTGAACGAGCGCGCAGCGCAAGTTCAATTTGAAATCACAAGAATAATATCAGACTAAAATTGCACGATTATAAATCATTTCATGGTTTCCGTCTTGATTGAGAGACGTAGTGCCTTGATGGTGAGCGCGTAGGACTCCACACTAAATGATCAGGTTCTGCACTCCAACCACAGTCACTTGTTGTATTTCCGAGAAAGACTTTCTCCTCACTTTCATAGATTATATCTCCGCCTAAGAAAATAAAGTCGAATTGTACTGGCAAACTGTCAGGAAAACTTGACGAAGTGCCAGAACCTGATATGGGCTTTATGTGCCATTAAGGGAGATAAGTTATTCAGTCTCGCAATACTACTTTCTTTTGCTTCCCTTAGCTCGTTTTGTTAATTAAGTAGCTAAAAAAAAACAGCTTCAAAGGTGTTTACTCTAAAAGGTTGTTTTTGTCGATTTTTTTGTCAGTTTCTTGTCATCTAATAGTTTGACATTGGCGTTTTACAGCGTGAGAAAATCCTCAAGCTTCTTATTGATCGTTACTTCTTTAACTCGCGTCAAGCCAGGGATCGTCTCGTACTCACCACTGCGCTGAAAGCTTTTGGAAGTAGCGTTCAGGTGAGTGACGTTTTAAATAGTGCATCTTCTACTTCATTATGGATTGTTTTTTTTATTTATTTATTCCCATTTATTTAACACTGCGCTCGCTAATATAATCGCTATGGTTTGGTGCCTAAAAATACAAACATAGATTTCAGTTTGTTGTAACATTAATGCTCTAAAAAAATCTTCCTCCCTAACCAACTTCTCGTTCAACTCTGATTGCTAATGTGGCGCATACGCTGATCAGAACACGAAAAACGAACCGGTAAATAAGTAACTCGTTATTTACCGTATTCCTTACGTTATTCAACATATTTTTGCGGCTTACCTGTATTTGTGGTTTAAGTCGTAACCTCTTTTGGTTTCATACGGAATGGAATTTCCTTCATGTTACAATTGAAATTTCCGTTGCCGATAAAGAGCAATTTCTCTTCCATAAGCCGCTTCCTTACCTTCTCGTGCAATTACTGTTCTGAGGCGGTATTGCACATCCGCTAACAACCACAAGAGGCTCGGTATCATAGCGACCACACACGAGGGGGGGGGCGACTTTGTCCTAATGCATCTGTCCTATCACGTACAGATGCGTTCATTGTATAAGCAGTCAGTCATTATTAAAGGATACTCTAAATGACTTGCAATTCATCCAATTAAGACGGCTCTTCGGTCCATCACGCAAGAGTGGTTGCTTCACGACCTCTTTACAGTATGATCGTCGCAGTTGCAAAAGTGAAAGAGAGATAACAAACATGTTAAGCGAGTAATGTCTTCACAGGACGTTTGTTTCCTTGCCTTAAATGATTTCTCTTCCTAAAAATCTGCTCTCATTGTTTTTTCACTTCAATTTGTCCTTTTTCTGATTTCGTCTCTGATTCTCATCGAGTAACATTAAGTATTAAATCTTCAAAACAGGTTACTTTTGTTAACTTTCCTTCTAACTGTGTATTATATATTTCTCTCTATTGCAGAATGAATCAACAGAGGCGACAGACTCATTTCCAAATACCGGAGAAGAGCAACAGCCTAAAATGCTCGGATGGTTTAGTCGCTTCCAACATAAATAAATTGTTTTTACCAATATATTACACGAACATTAGATTTAGGATATTTTTTAGAGGGTTTTTCTTTAACTAGTCATGAAGGATGCAAATTCTGGCTTTTATTTACACTTGAAAACAATTTGTTATCGATAGGTTTCTTGACTCTTTGACCCTGTCAATAGTAGGAGGACAAATTTTACCTCAAATCACTACTTCAATGCTCTCACGTTTCAACTCATGGTCACGGAACGAAACTCTTTGCAAACAATGTTTAGAGATAGAAATGCTTTTGCGTCTTACCTGAATATGCATAAACATACATTAAACGTCTTAAAGAGATAAAACTTTTTACGATAAACAACAAATTAGTGATATAAATAGCTGCTACATGAGATCTGAATGATTGCAATATTTGCAATAGTTGCTTTTTGTGACGTACAAACGTCTAGGAACTCAACTATCACAAAATCAGACAGGTAAGGACTCAACTGTCCATAAATTTGAGGAAATCACTTGTCATCCGCATTCTCCCGCTCCTTCCCACTAGTAAACACACGTACGATATAATTTTTGGATATGAACGGCAGACAGTCGACCACGTTAAACGTTGAGGAAATTACAAACGATAAGGATGTTGTATTTTCGCCACAACTGAACTCTGCAATAGAAGAAGACGAAATGGATGTCCTTGCGAGTTCAATGAGCGCAGACGAGGAATCACTGTTTGTTGCGGTTCGAAGCGGCAACAAAGAAGCAGTTCAAAATTTGCTCAGTACCAAACGCGTTGATGTCAATTGCCGAAATGCAAACGGTGAAACTGCTCTACAAACAGCAGTCGAGGAACAAGATCTCGACATCATGCAAATACTTCTCAAAAACAATGCTGAGATCGGTTCGGCTTTGTTTCAAGCTGTCAGGAACAATTCCTTGCAGTGTGTGAGAATTTTGGTGGCTTACGACAAAAGTCGTAAAAGCTTCGGTGCGAAGTCGCTCGAAAAGTTTTCTACCAAAGGAACGGGTAGAACTTTAGGGCGGTTTGACGAATTTCTGACCCCACTCGGCTTGGCTGTGTTAAACGGAAGCTACGAAATTGTCGAATTCCTTGTTAGTAAAGGCTACAAAGTTGAACATCCGCTCACCCGCAAAAGCCAAGATTTCGCCAAACAATTCGAGGAGGAATCAATGATCAGGCTTAAAAATTCTGTTGTGAAATTAAACACTTACCGTGCATTGGCGAGCCCTTTGTATATATCACAATTGTTCTTACACGAAAGCAAAAATTTGAGTACAAGGAATACGGAATATTCAGCCAGTGATCCATTGTTTCGATCTATCGTTTTGAAGAAGAAACTGAAAAAGCTTTCTTTTCGTGAAGGCGAGTTTCGAGATGATTATCGAGCTCTCTCCGCTCAGTGTGAGAATTTTGCAATTCGGTTATTGGACGAATGCAGAAATCTCGAAGAAATCGCCGCCGTCATGGACATGCCGGAACTGGACAAAATGGAAGACGACGCGTATCTGAGGAATAAGGAACACCAACTGCGTGTGCTCAACCTCGCCATAAAATACCAGAATATAAAGGTATGCAAGAGTAAAAAAATAATGTAATTCGGGCAAATAATGTCATTGTAGCAATATCTTCTTCAATTGGAGCTGTATCTTTCTTTGATGCTAAAAGGATCAGCAAGCAGATCAGACTATGTCGGTTGTTGGTATATCTAAAAGATAAACAAGGTTAGTCTCTAAAGAAACCGTTTCTAAAAAAACCTTTTTGTAACGTGTGTTTATAAGCCACCTATTGTAGACGAGGTATTAGTTACTAAAGAAACTGCAGCGCTACGTCAGCGAGCAAGTGAGTCGATTAGTTGGTTATCAAATGTAAGTCGATAAAGGAAAATAATTGACCTTGGCAAATTCTGAAAAGCAGTTTATCGACTCTTATCAACTTATAGTTAAACAGAAACTAAATGTCTCCGATAGATAACTTGAGGACTTGTAATTATCTTTAATAAGCATTGAAATAAGCTTCCAGAAGCTCAAGCTCGCCGTCTGATTATTTTTTATCAGGAATTGTTGACTAAATTCATAGCCTTGAGCGTCAGAAGTAAAAATTTAAAAAACGCTATTGTTCATATCTGTATAATCTCAACGCAAGACTGAGAAGAATGAAGACAGTAGTTTATTGTTGAAACGTGAAAGGGCTTGTAAAGACCCCTGTCACGTTTTGTTGCCAGAAATAATTGAAATCAAGAGACCATTACGCTTAATATAGTCTCTCGTCAAAACACTGAGGTTTTGTAGTTTTGTAGAATATTACTTGAAAGAAAAGGTGTCCGGCTTCAACGCATGAGCGACTTGAGAGGTATTTTTGAATGGCGGGGTAGTCTTGATCCTTCCTTAAGCGTCCTTGACTTTGAGCTTCCTCATTCATACGGAAAGTTTCCACGGAAACGATCATGAGTCGTGTATTTTAGTCCTCGAAAGCTTATAAATCCAATATGAAAAAGTTTGGTTCGCGTGCCATATAGTAAACTACCTAAATTAGAAATATGGCCCTTAGGCTCATATCTCCTGTGTAGCTCTCCCGCTCGGTTAGTCATCCGTTTACAAAACAGCCAGATGCATGTGGCTCGCGCAACAAGAACGGAGAGAAGTAAAAACCACCACTTCTGTCTGTGGGCTGTTGTAGCGCACGTTTTCACAAAGTATAATTTCCTTTCTTAAATACAAACACATTTTCTCGACGAGCACATGGTAGATATTCTGATGCATTCGTAGCTGTAGTTGTTATGACCATAAAAATTGACTTCTGACTTTCAGATATATTTTTTAATGTTTTTTTTTTCCAGTTCATAGCTCACCCTTACAGCCAAGTGATGCTCAATTCAGTGGTATATAAGGGTACATCTGGATGGCAGCAAATGCGTTTTCCTGTCAAACTCTTCCTGGCGATGTTGTACACTCTTTTTATGCCGCTATGCATGCTGGTGTATATGCTCACTCCGATCAACCCTCTTACCAAGAAGTTAGAGATACCCTTGATCAAGCTAATGAGCCAGGCCTCCTCTGTTGTCTGGTTCCTAGCTTTGATAACACTGTCTGCCTTCCAAGATTATTATGACTTGTCCTTACGATTGTCGCCATTGAGTAAGTAGACATGTTATCGTTAAGAGAGGAGATAAAAGCCCCAGCAACCACGTTCTTTTAATCTCCTCGTCTAAAACTTTTGTATAGGGGTTAATTTTGGTTACTTAACCTATTATAATCTTCCAAACTAGACAGATATTGACTAAGTTGGAGGGCCGGACGGGAAAGTGTTTGGCTCGAGGTCATCGGATCGAGCACACAAGTGTCCGTGCGTTATGACCGAGAACCAAATATTTTCCCGTCCGGCTCGACCCAACTCAGTCAATAAGCATTTTATCATATGAACAATAAGTGTTGAAGTTTTAGTTTCAACTTTAATGGGATGCGATAGACGGGCACACGCGGAAGTGTCTTCTCCTTAAGTGCACTGAAACGAAAACATTTAGGCTTCTTTAATTGCAGAGGAGGAACCGAAACACAAGCGATAATAATTTGTTTTCAAGAACTGATATATTTTAATGTCTGATTCACTGTTACTCTGAGTCAGCCCCATAATACTCTCGTTTCTTGTTCACATAGATGTAATTATTGGCATCTGGGTGATCGGAATGACAGTTCAAGAAATCAAACAAGCTCTTCATCAAGGAAAAGAGCGATATTTTTCAGAATGGTGGCACCTGGCTGTAATACCCATGATCATCTGCTACATCATAGCCGCTGTTCTGTGGATTGTGGGCTACGCATATATAGCCTCGGGTTCGGGTGAATGGACCGTGCATGTCCGGGAGCTACTGGGTTCCACATCCCTTACCCCATACCACCTGTTGCTGTTATCCAACAGTTTCTACTCCTTTGCAGTAGTGTTGACTTTCTTCGAAGCATCTCACACTCTACAAGTGAACTCCACCCTAGGGCCGCTGCATTTGTCGCTTATGAATATGGGCAAAGATATCATGAAGTTTTTCTTCCTTTTTGCTCTCAATGTATGTTCGTTTGCCCTTGCGATGAGAAAACTGTACTCACAGTACGTGCAGTCGACAGCAGCACATACTAATATGGGAAACAACAGCACCACAACCCATGCTTTTGAAAGGTAACAAATGTAATGATGGTGACGATGATACCAAAGTTAATCAATTGAATACTCTCAAGGTGTGAGTAATGGGGAAAGGGATAGGGGCCATAAACTACGCATCATTCTCGATTAACTTCGATGGAGATGAAAATTATCAGTTGCAGTTTGTCAAAAATTTCCGCGCTTCTGCGTGTTAGTTGAGTTGATTCAGCTTGTTATAAGCCTCTACTTTTATGGTTAAACAATCATCGGAAACTAGTTTTAAAGCAAGTTACTCCATAGTTAGTTACAATGTTATAAAATGTTTGGCTTTGTTCGTTAAAGGTTAATTTTAAAGGTTTTCTTTGATGATAAATGGCCTTTTTCTGCGATATCATTTTCTTACTTATTTATGAAACTGAGGCGCAATCATGGACAATGAGCATCCAAGCTAAACATAACAGAAATCGAGACAAGAGTACAAATATTTTCATCGTAGTGATACTGTGAAGGGGCTACTTCACAAAGTCGCCATTTGAAATTCATACAAATCCTCTCCCTCCTTAGTCATCCAGAATCTGTTTTGGTTTGTTATTCTTTCATTTTGGTTTTTGTTTACCTTAGCAAAGTATTATCAGTTAAAAATCACTTTTCCACGACGCGAAAATGAGTCGCACACACATTGTACTGCCGGACGAGCTTGGTAGGTTATTTTTATGAAGATTTGTCTAATTTCTCTCGTAGAATCGAAGGAGTATTAAGTACTTTATTCTGGGCCCTGTTCGGACATGCGGATAAGTCAACCTTTGACACGAATAAAAACGCTGAGATCACCGAAATCACTGGACACTTGCTATTCGCCACTTACAGTCTCGCTTCCGTGCTAGTTGCAATGAACCTCCTCATTGCGATGCTCAGTAATACTTTCAAGAAGGTTTCTGTAAGTATCAGTAATCTATGAGTGCTGCTGAAGTATTAACGTACAGATAGCAAAATCATTCCCATTTTCTATCCGCCGGGAGGGGTCAAGTACTTTAAAGCCAGGGGAGTTGGTTTTATAAATTTCTTCTTGGGTGTGAACCGCATAAATTCGATGTCTACATTTATTATCAGACTCCATTTATGATAAATGCATATTATCAGCCCTGTTTGGGATGCGTTGGTCCTAAGGTAAACAAGCCAGGATGTAGATTGAAGTGTCCGGTTAACATTAGGCGGGGGTCATCCGACTGTGTTCCTTTAAAGATGCTTGTAGTTACAGTTTCTCTCTTTACTTAAGGGTAAATTTAAGGGCTGTTGAAATGTTAG